GGTGAAGTCATACATGTTACATAATATATATGAAATATTACAGGTTTTCAACTAAATGCAGACTTAGTTCTGAAAACACAGTCCACCACAGTGTCAAAGGGCAGTGTACTGAATTGCTACCTTGACACATTCAGGAGGAGTTCACGACAGGCCTGGGTCGATTGGGCTGCTGTGATTGCCAGTAGGCTACTACCACATCCGTGTCAACTGTGCGTATTGACACCTTGCTATACCCTTCCTTCACAGCATCTCCTAGGTGCAGTAGGATGCGGGTATCAGCCTCCTCATGTGTGCATGTTGCAAGTACTGATTATTTGTTTGCCAGTGTTGAGGGCTGTCACACTGGTTGCCAGGAAGAAGAACAGTTCAGCCTTCTTGTCTTCAATGCGCAGAAACTCTGGCCAGTTTCCAGGAATGACACTGGATGGCTCAACGCGTCTATGAACTCCCTTCCCTCTCTTGCTGCGTGTTTCAGCCTTCAGACTTTCGGGGAAATATTCATCCCACACGACATCAATTCTGCTGACATGCTCCAGCTGAGACAGGATGTATGGTGAGAACGCTTTCTGCGCATAATAAAAAAACGTCTTAGCAGCACCAGGTCGTAGCAGGATGAGGCATTAACTGTGTGGTGGGATGCATTCTCTTGTAAAGAATCAGGTCCTCCAAACAGCCCACCAAGTCTGACTTGGTACCAGTTCTGAGTTTGCCCATTTGTGACAATGATGATGGACATGCCTGTTTTTCAAGTTTATTATATTTCACGTTATTAATCCCAAAAAACTCATCCAGACTTCCATCACGTATCTCAGATACAATGTACAGCCTAGAGAACAGAGAACAGTCATTCTTCAGAGATGAGAGCTGTTGTTGGGACATGGACTTATCTTGGACTGGAGGCTGGCTGAATAGAGGGAGGTTTTTAATGGGACCTTTGATGGGCTTTTTCTGTTCGACCAGGCGCTCACTGACATACAGTGGAGGAAATAAGTATTTGATCCCTTGCAGATGTTGTAAGTTTGCCCAATTACAAATAAATGAACAGTCTATAATTGTAACGGTAGGTTTAATTTATCAGTGAGAGTAAGAATATCAAAAAGAAAATCCAGAAATGTACATTATATAAAAGATACAATTTGATATGCATTAAACTGTGGGAAATAAGTATTTGATCCCCTTGCAAAACATGTGTTAGTACTTGGTGGAGAAACCCTTGTTGGACACACAGAGGTCAGACACTTCTTGTAGTTGGTCTCCAGGTTTGTGCACATCTCAGGAAGGATTTTGGTCCACTCCTCTCTGAAGATCCTCTCCAAATCCTTCAGGTGTTGAGGCTGATTCTTGGCATCTCAAAACTTCAGCTCCCTCCACAGATTTTCTATGGGATTAAGGTCTGGAGACTGGCTAGGCCCATCCATCACCTACATGTGCTTCTTCTTTAGCAGCTCCTGTGTTGTGTGCCGTATGTTCAGGTTTATTGTCCTGCTGGAAGACCCATCCATGACCCTTTTCAGTGTCCTGGCTGAGGGAAGGAGGCTATCGGCCAATATGTTACAGTACATGGCCCTGTCCATCCTTTCCTCGATGCAGGGAAGTCGTCCTGTCCCCTTAGCAGAGAAACACCCCAAAATTATAATGTTTCCACCTCCATTTTGGTGTCAGCTGACCACATCACCTTCTACCAAGCCTTCTCTTAATCATTCAGATATTCATTGTCAAATTTCAGAAGGGCCTTTCATGTTCTTCTTGAGCAGGGGACCTTGCGGGCGCTGCAGGGTTTGATCCATTATGGTGTAGTGTGTTACCAATAGTTGTCTTGGGTCTGTGCTCCCAGCTGCCTTGAGATCATTAACAAGTTCCTCCCTTGTAGTTCTTGGCTGATACATCACCTTTCTCATAATCATCAATACCCCAAGGGGCGAGATCTTGTGTGGATTCCCAGACCGAGGGTGATTGATTGTTGATTGATGTCCATTTTTTTCCCTTCCATTTCCGAATAATCGCACCAACAGTTGTCACCTTCTCCCCAAGCTGCTTGCTGATGGTTTTGTAGCCAATCCCAGCCAAGTGCAGGTCTACAGTCTGGTCCCTGAGGTCTTTAGACAGCTCTTTAGTCTTGCCCATGGTGGAGAGGTTGGAATCTGATTAATTGATTCTGTGGACAGGTGTCTTTTATACAGGTAACAAGTTGATATGAGGGGTACTTTCCTAAAGGAAATGGACTTATATAACCGGTCTGTGGGAGCCAGAATCCTTGTTTTTTGCAAGGGGATCAAATACTTATATCCCACAGTTAAATGCAAATAATTGTTTATCTTTTATATAATTTCATTTTCTGGTTTTTCTTTTTGATATTCTTACTCTCACTGTTAAAATAAACCTACCATTACAATTATAGACTGTTCATTTCTTTGTAAGTGGGTGAATTTACAAAATCGGCAAGGGATCAAATACTTATTTCCTCCACTGTAGGTGTCATACCCGTCCTGTCCGAGTTTCTCAATCTGGTTCAGAGTGTCAATGACTGCAAGGTCTCTAGTATCCAGTACAAGAAGATATTCACTGCTTATTTCACAGAATCGATTGCCCATGTTTTATGTAGCACCAATTAGTGCTTTAACATCTTGTGCAAATGCCATTTGTGCATGTTTGGTCTGCTCATGGTGCAGGGTGTCAGTCTTCTTTCTCTTCTCAGTGGAGGCCTTAAACTCCCCAACCACACATGCCATCTCGGGGCCAAACACCATCCAGCATCGCAGAGCTGCAGGGTTCTCTGTCAGGCCTACAGCACCACAATCACCTTTCACAGAGGCATTGTTCTGCTTGTGGGCCTGGTCAATGACAATAGCAGAGAAGCTGCGTGTCGTCTTCTTCACAGCAAAGTTTCCTTTCAGAAACTGTTGATGGACATCAGGATGGTTATCTTTTAGCACAATCATGTCACGTAAGTGGACTGGTATCCATCCGGCATATTGGGTGTGTCCCAGGAAAAGGACCCTTCAGGTCACCCCAATGATCTCAATGGGATTCACCTGCATAAATAAAGGTTTGAAATTAAATGAAATGAACCAAGGCACAATCTTGGTCAAGGCATTTATGTAGAGTAGGAAGTCGGCCTCTCTTATTGATCGCACATAGATCATCAACTCTATTTCCAGCCGCAGGATGATAGACCAGAAGTGGAACTGGGAACATGACACTGCTCTTGTCCACCCGCTACCCCTCCAGGAGGTCGACCAGTACCTTGAGTGCTGCCATCTCAATGTGAAACCCAACAAACATCACAATAAAATGATGCTGGCCAGCTCCACTGGGTTTTTTTTGCCACAGCGTATAGAGGTTGATCCAGAGTGATCCGACCAGGATTCAGAATCTCTAATGCCTGACTTACCTCATCGATGGAATGATGAATCATGGACACATATTTGGCCTGGTCGTAGAAGAGGGGAAGTAGAGAAGTGAGCATCGATTCAGCACACAAAGAGAGCTGCCTTCCAAGCTGGTCACTGCTGGGGACAGATGATGTTTGCAGCCCCTGAACTCCCATCCCCAGGTGACTGGGGGTGGAAGAGGAAGGTCACAGGTGGATGGGAAGTTTACTGGACCACATTACCAGGCCTGTTGTGAACTCCTCTGCTGTGGATGCAAAAAGGGTTGCAGTGGACAATGCAAATGTGTCAAGGCAGCAATTCAGTGCAGTGCCCTTTGCCACTGTGGTGGACTGTGTTTTCAGAACTAACTCTGCATTTAGTTGAAAACCTGTAATATTACATATATATTATGTAACATGTATTATTACTTCACCATAATACATATGTTAATGGTTTACTGTGTATTTTGTTCCCTGAATACCAGATACATATAGTTAGCTACATTCTAGCCTGTTGTAAATAGTACCAATGCATTCCCCATCCTTGAAAATGTAGGATTAGCCACCAGAATCAAGATCCTAGGTGGTCTAGATCCTAAACTACTGGTAAAATAACAACCAATGGCGGCCATTTGCAAAATTTGCGATGGGCCTATAGCCGAAAATCTTCCTTAGGGCATGCTCTAACAGTGTTCCAAATGTCATGCTTTTATCATCAAAAGCACAATTCTTTCAGATATTTCACATATCTGCTGGACATCTACTTAGTTACCTCCCACCTCTGGCCAGCTGAAATCAACCCACTCAGACCAGTGGGGAAGCTACACCAGCAGACATAGAGCCTTAGATCCCACAAGGATCTGATTCAACGGAATGGAACTGATTCTGACTTCATGGTTGTTTATAGTAAAGCCTACAGTTTGTCTCTCTCCTCTTTTCTTTTTTCTTTACAGAATTGCAAAAGCACCCACACATAATTTAATCAACATTAATGTAAACACATCTCTCTCAGTAATTTCCCATGTTTCTGTTAGACCGCAGTGCACATTCAATATGCGGAGTACCTAAATAACAATGTTTTGCAAATGTTCCTTCATCGAAAGTTGTTCTCTCTCTTAGGAAAAGGGAAGAAGAACGCAAAGTCTGAGCAGAAGACTGGGACGGTGGGAAAGGGAGCAGGGAAGAAGATCACCAAAATTATCGGCCTGGGAAAGAAGAAGCCGTCCACAGACGAGCAGACATCTTCAGCAGAAGAAGACGTACCCGCATGCGGTAATATGTTCAAGCAGGAAATCCCAGTATCATTAGGACCTATATATAAGTGATATATTTCAATGATATACATTTTGGGTCAAATAGTTCAATCAAACGTGATTCATGACTCCCCGCCATGCCCCTGACAACAGTTTACTGATTTTTTATTACCACCTTGTGGATAAGTTTGTCATCAACCCTTTCCAGTATTCATCACTTCATGAAATCTGTGTGAAATCTGCCTTTCCTCCTCTGACTTACCTCAAAGTAAAGTCAACGCTAATTCACTTCAGCAAACGCAGCCTTAGGGGCTCCTGTCAAAATGTAAATATGTTGTATCTCTTTACACCTTAATGCTATAAAGAATGTAAGATGTAAAAAAATACTGAACACATTCATGAAGATATTGTTAAAATCATGAACATTATTTTCCTGACTGTTATCTTTGCTCGTCAGGCTACCTAAATGTGTTGTCCAATAACCGTTGGAGAGAGCGTTGGTGCCGTCTGAAAGAAAACCAGCTGCTTCTCCATAAGGACCGTGACGACCTGAAGAGCCACATCGCCTCGCTGCCCCTCAGAGGCTGCGAGGTCATTCCTGGCCTGGATCACAAGCACCCGTTTGCCTTCCGCCTGCTTCGTAATGGCCAGGAGGTGGCAGTACTGGAGGTGAGCTGCGACCTCCAAATGGACTGTTGGATAATGTTTTTCTGGAGATGTGTACTCGTGTGTCAAAGTCAGCTATTAGAACTCCACTGTCAGCCAATAGATGAAGCAGAAATGCCAGGGAATAAATGAATGGACTTGAGCACGCAAACACTGCTTAGAAAGGTTTTCCTACTTATTCTTGTTTTCTCTTTTATATGGTAAAACAAGTCCTCCACCAACCAGTGACTTGTGTATGTGTATTTGATGTTATGGGTATTTGAACTTCCTCCAGTTGTCATTTTGAATCTATTTCCTCACATGCATGCTACCCTCTGCCTACAAATGTGTTCCCATTTATAATTTTCCTTGTGAAACCATAGCATTCTTAAGTAAAATCAAATGCTTTTGATTTCTTCTCAACTTGAACCCATACCTTTATCATTTTTACTATAACTTTGTCCTTTCAATAAGGCCACTTCCTCTGAGGAGATGGGTCGATGGTTGGGGGTCTTATTGGCTGAGACTGGCTCCACCACAGACCCAGCTACCCTGCACTACGACTACATCGACGTTGAGACCACCGCCAATGTCATCCAGCTGGCCAAGCAGTCCTTCTGGTATATGACAAACATTCTTTCTAGTGATTAAAACCCTGACAAGTTTTTATTGTTTTTATCATGAATATTACTTACTACTTACTATTACTTGGTGAACTTTGCTCTGCGTCCTCATACACATATTTGCTCCTGATCCACGAGTAAATTAAGATCTATGGCTCATTTCCATATTGTGAGGTCCCAACACATTACAACAATTATGATATAAACATATATGACAAATATTGATTCCAGGAGTTTTGCACACAGCTTCCAGGTGTGGCCTTTAATAATGAAGTGGGCGCCGGGCAGCACCATGGCAACAGCGCCACCGGGGCCGGACAATAAGTCAGGTCGGAGTTATTCACCCAGCCAGGCCACTACTAGCTTTTGGGTTTTTTGTTGTTGTTTGCATCGTCAATATTTACATCGTTGCTGCCCACACACTAACACTCGGCTTAATTCAGATTTAAGAAGGTTCTTGTACCTTAACCTGTTGCGGGAGCAGCGTGGGCTCCCGCAACATCTTGCAAGAAACAGCGTCTGAGGGCTTCTTAACATTTAACAAACTATGAATGTGTCATACCCACTTAACGGGAAGAAACTCAGCTACCTGACAATATGAACCATTTTTACCGAAACAAAACACAAGTCTAACGCAGAGCCTCTGAATTAGCACTAAGTGTAAATCACGGTAATAATTCACGGTACAAATATTTTATACTTCATCGGATCTGCACCAACTAAATAGCATATGAAAGCCGAGATTCCCGAGATTCCAATGGTATAAATATCATCACTGTGCGACCAAAACTTGCGGCAGAAAAAAGCCAGCAAAGACAACACACAACTTCACTTTACGTAGCCAAAACGGCAAATACGTCTTACCTTGGCTGTTTTCTGATCAAAATGTATGTTCAAGGGCATTAAAACACAGATAAACGCTGCTGAAGGTTAATCCAATGTCTCTGTGTCCCTTTGAAATGATTACTGATAATCCATCATCATATTTATGGCAATAAGCCTAGTTTACAGTTTTCAGAGCGTAACATAGCTTTCGGTTTGGGAAAACTGCGTACGCATCACTCTCACTCCTCATTGGTAATGTTTAGATGGATTTAGGAACTTCCCCTCAATTCTATTGGCTTTAACGGTTCAAAAGAGGTATCAATCACCAAAATCGACAAATGGGTTCCAGAGATATGGCAAATACACCCATAACCCCAGAGGTGGGGTTTATTTTCTAAACCTCTCTAAAAAGGTCAAATTTCACTTGTTTTGCATCAATCTTGATACAGGGTACCGATTATATGTTATAGCTTGGATTCCTAAAGCTTTTTGTCTCCGATCCCATCATTCAAGGGTGGTTTTCACTATAAGTTATGGGGGTTTTTTTGGACGGAAACTATCATTTACATTTTTTTTACTATGTTCAATCTGAATTTACTTTAAAATAAAAACATCTATATTGATTCTGAATTTTATACATCCAACTCACAGGTGTGTCATTGCTTTTAGAAAAAAGATTATAAATGTAACCCTTTTAGAAGTGAAAATATAGTCATTTGTTCTGGGCATGTCATTTTCGAGCCTGAAACCTGAAAAACAGGCTCGGGGCTTAACAGGTTAATGATTATGTTCACTGTGTACATGATGTTAGAAGTGACCACACAACCCATTGTTTAAAGACATTTCTAAAATGTATCGTTTCAATTCTTTGTAACATCTACATGTACTGGTGTCATCATTTATGTGGTTTTCAACCGTTCGTAGTGGTAGCCCTACTGTAGTTTTAATCTCACTAACATCAATAACGTTGCCCTGTAGCTGCCAGTTCCTCTGTGTTGCTGCTTGGTTCTGCCTGAACATCTCCCTGTGAAGGACCGGCACTGCTATTATTTCCACCTTTGCATAGGAAAAGATATGAGGGCAACAACTTATTTTTCAATTGACTCTGGTGTCACAATACATCATACTGACTTTATAATAGCCTATTAAAGTTTACTTCACTTTTGCCAATGTTGCTGCTTTTATGGGAGATCCAGCACTGTAGTTAATTATATAACAGTGACTTTATCACATAGTTGCCCCTGAATTTGCATGGCCTAATAACATAATAATTTTCTCCCCTTTGTTGGACAGACAACCTAACCATCTCAAGTTACTTATTCACTCACATTGTGAAGAGTTGTAGTGCCACAGTTAGCTGCAGTCTAACGGTAGTATTACATATACTTGGCATAGCCTAACAGTCTCCAGTCACACAGGGCCTACCACTGAACTTACTTGATATTTGGACTGAGCAACTTTTTTGTTGACAGTCTGTACACATCAGGCTACAATATGGAAAACGAGAGCACAAAAAATGTATTTGGCTAAATTGAGTTAATTAGTTGCCCAGTTTTGCCTGTAAACTATGTATAATGGTATGTGGCTTACTCTGAATAAATCTGTGAGTTTAGGACAGGCTGCCTCCTCCTTGTGTGCTCTTTTCTTTTTTTCTCTCTCTGTGCCACCTTTCCTCCTTTTTTTTGCAGGATCCAAGACATTGTTGGTGTCAGTGTCAGTCAGTCCAGTCCACACTTTTACACTTAATTACCTTACCACTCTTGCAACAAACGGAGAGTGGAACAACCAATCACATCTTCATTATTCTCCGATAGCTGAAATGTGCCCACTCGCTAGTCTGACAGCTGCCTGGGGCCGGTAGTTTTCACTGCGCCTCATACTGGTGCAACTTCATTTTGGAGCACTTTTATGACTTGCCGCACATCATGTCTGGGCTGAATTAAAAACATGTTTTTTTAATCCTGTGTGTTGACAGGCCACAGCATATTAGAAAGGCCTCCTGGACTAAATACATTGCAACGTTTATTTTGTCCTTACAGTTTTACAAGTAAGCGTGCTGTCTCTCCGAACCCGTACCTGGACAGCCCAGTCAACGGCTACGCCTGCCCCAGTGGCATGGCTCTGCACTATGATGACGTGCCCATCAACGGAATGGTAAGAACACACCTGCTCATGGGGGATACACACACAGAACAAATCAGCTAAAGCAGCTTAACCACAGTAAACCATCTAGCTGTTAACTACATTACATATCAAAGACAATGTACAATTTAACGTAAGAGAGTTCAGGGAATAGGTTTGTTGACACTCTTTCCTGTATCACAATCTGATTAAACTCAGGTCACAGTGATCTATAATCACCACATTGCATTATGCCCTACAGCGCTCAATCACAGCAGCATGTTGGTATCTCAAGACAACCGGAAGATATTTTCAAAGGCCTGGATTTTGCCAGATCAATCCCCTGCTGGACAACATTCTCCCACCATAAGGGAACATCTGAGGTTATACTTAGCGTAAAGATCTTAACACATATATTGTTCAGATGGATTTAACTGAATAATGATCGTACAGCAGGTCAGTTTACATCCGTTGTTTGAAATTAAACAATTTACGAATCTGCCTTTGGCTCCTCAAAAACTAAAATGTTACCCCACTCAATGTTTTGAGAGTTCTTATTTCTGAGAATCTCGCAAACTGAGGGGGGGAATTCAAAATAAGCACGACTTATAGCACGAATCACCACAGCCATGTTAATGGAAACTAAGCCAAGATTAAATAAACTGAATGATATGATATATTACATGTTAAAACAACATTATACCGTACACAGACACTTGTTATGGAAAAGTAGTGTAACTAACATTTGTACTGCTATCATCTCTTCCTTTCTTTCTCTCCTTTGACTTTTCTTTCTGTTGTGTATTTTGTCTCTTCCTCTTCCCTCTCTGCCTGCATGCTTGTCTAACTGAAGGACCCGGAGTCGCAGTACTCCAGTCCCAAAACAGGGGGGCGCCAGCTGAAAGAGGAGGTGCACTATGAAAACTCTGACCTATATGAGAACATGCCTTCTCCCAAGCTGACCTCTCGCTGTCTTCCCAAGCTGAACTCTGCTTCCACTTCTGCCAGTCCCTACAAAGCTCCTGTTTCTAAAGTTTCCTCTAAGTTCCTCACTGCTGATACTAAAACTAAAGCCACTACTCAGGTGACTAACACTCTCCTCATTACAACTCACACTTTTTATGCTCTATGCTCTTAGTTTACCAGTCTATTATTCACTATATCATGCTCTTTACCGTGTTTTTTTTTTCAACATTAGTATAATTTAGTTAATAATCAGATAATTTTACGTTATCGGTTTTTATGTTTCTCATGTGTTGATAACTTTCAGAAAATGGAGGTGGACGTGACCCGCTTAGCAACAATATTTCTCTGTATGACTTGGCAAAAGTGCAGGGCCTTTGATTCTGCTGAAGCATTGAGACTTGACATAATATTGCAAGTAGTGATGCTATTTCAGTTTTTTAAAAGTCTGACCTGCCAATTATGATTTTTACTGATAACATGTTTTTCTTCTTCTTCAAGCTTTTTTTTTTTTTTACTTTTTCTTGATATAAGTGTCGTTTTTTTAACACAAAACAACAATCACATGTTATTTTCAAAGCTGCATTCAGTTGCTTTAAAAGGTTTCTGATAAAGAAATGTTTTACATATTTTCATTAAAATCCCATACAGTCAAGAACAGCATATTGCTGATAGGCCTACCACCAAATCATAAATGGTCAAGTGATTGTTTCAGACAGAACCATAAACAGCTTTAGTCACCTACTGATATATTGTGTATCCCAAATGATGACATACTTTACTATTGAAAAAAAAAAGTGTTTATTATTCCTGCATGAGCATGCTTAGCTCAATATACAAGGTGTTAATGCTGGTCACTCACAAGCCCCCACCTCTTTCCTGTTAGTCTGTGAAGCACATTCCACCTCTGGGTATGTCCTGAAATCATGCTCAGGTGGAAGAACGACTTAGATCTTGTACTTCTGTAAAAGTACCAGAGTGTAGTAATACTCTGTTACAAGTAAAAGTCCTGCATTCAAAATGTTACTTAAGTAAAAGTACAAAAGTATGAGCATTAAAATATAGCAAAAGCAAAAGTAGTCATTGTCCAGATTGGTCCATTTCAGAATAATATGTATGATATGTTTTATAATTATTTATCATTAAAGTGTTATCAAAGCTGGTAAAGGTGCAGCTAGTTTTAATGACTTTATATATATTTTTTATTTATTTAACCTTTATTAAACCAGATACAATTGAGATCAAATCTCATTTACAATGCTGACCTGGCCAAGAAGGCAGCAACGTTACACATTATTACACATAACACAGACATATAAAATACAGAGAACACAACTAAGTAAACAAAAAGACAAAAAGCAGTCACTACATTGTGCACATTTGGGACAGTAAGAAAGGTACATCCTAGCATCCTAGGCATACTAAGTGAGGACCATCCAGTTAGGCTATACAGTATGCAATGATGAGTCCTATAGGGTGCATTTGATATATATCGCAGTGCAGCATGGTAGAGTGGGTCAAGTTTGGCCAAAACAGTGGGACAGGCAAATCTATCAATTGTATCACCGTAGTCAAGCTGGGACAGGAATAATCCAGAGACCAACCTTTTAAGGGAAGAAGTTGAAAAACAACATTTAAGTCTGTAAAGGAAGCCAAGAGTGAATTTCAATTTCTTAGTTAGAACTTCAATGTGGTGTTTAAAGTTTAGATTTCTGTCCAACCAAAAGCCCAGATATTTGTATGTATCGACAAACTCAACCAAGACGCCGGGGGAAGAGAGTTGACTTGGGAGCAAAAAGCATTGCTTTGGTTTTCTTACTGTTCAATAGCAGTTTAGAATCAAGAAGCGCATGCTGCAGCGTGATAAAATCTGATTTTAAATTGGAAACGGCCATATCCAGAGAAGGACCACATGAGTATACGATGGTGTCATCAGCATACATATGATAGGTAGAAAATTGCATCTGATTACAAATATTGTTTACATATAATGAAAAGAGCAAGGGCCCCAAAATAGAGCCCTGTGGAACTCCCTTCTCCAAGGTGACAGGGTCAGAGACAGTACTACCCAACCTGGCGCATTGAGAGCGGTCGGTTAAATAACTCTGAAACCAGCAAATGGCATTATGACCTAAACGAGACACCGACATAACATTAGACAGAATGTGGTGATCTACAGTGTCAAATGCTTTGGCCAAGTCAATACACAATGCAACACAAACATATTTTTATTGTTATTAATGGTTTTAACTTCTGTTAGACAGCCATATGCCATACATTTTTGCATACATTCACAGTAAATATTTATTCAGTATGATAGCTGTCTAACAGAAGTTAAATTCATTTCTCACTTATTCTTATATACCCCAAATAAAAGAACCCAATAACTCATCTCTCTCGAGTTTTATTTTTCAGCTTTGCCAAAAGCCACTGTGTCAAGTGTCCTTCTTGGGTTGCCGTCCGGAGTTGTCCAATATGGCGGACCATCTTGCACATGCGCACTGCAGATCGGGCAGAGCTGCAGATCGGTTAGTGACACTGCTAACTGCCACGGCCGCCTCGTTAATATCAAATCCATCATAATAATCCAGTACCATGCTGTCGTGAACGTGCGGTGCTGTTACGTGTATGCAAATGTACATGCTTAATGTGAATGAGCCTTTTAGGGGGCGTGGTTAAAGTTGCGCATGCTCTATGAGCGCACATACGGGTACTTCTCAGGCACATCTGTGACGTTTCGCTCTCTCAAAAGTTGGCCCATTTTATCTTCATGCGCCAATGAGCAGCTCTCATGAATGAGGCCCCGCCTCCCACGCTGTATCCAGTTCTTATTATACATCCATGAGCGGCATGCCGACACACATCTTGGATCCCGTATAGTGCAAACGGCACAAACAGCAATATTAGAAGCTGTGGTACTCTCTGGTGGCCCACTCCGCCGCCAAATCTTCCATAACAGGAAGAGACATAGAAAGGGCCGACTTTCTACTGAGGTCCTTGAACGCACCGCGGCACGCTCTCGCGGGGCCGCGCGAGCCGTCATAATGCCGTCTTCACACAGACGGTGAAATCCATTAATCGGAGTTATTACACTAGTAGTCTAGCAGGAAGGGCCCTCAGATTTTGAGATACCCCTACCCGAGGTAGAACAAATGACAACAATGACTTTGTTTAATCTTTCAGGTCTCCCATTAATGAAATTGATTGTTGTCAAACTTTATTTTGGGGGAAAAAATGTTTTTTGGGTTGTTCTTTAGAACTACCCCAATCCCTGAAAAAGAGCCAAATTAGACCAGGCCGAATGTGGGAAAGGTGACAAGAAAGCCCATAACTTGAGATTGACCACTCTCTTCAGATTTGCTGAAGTATGAACCAGGTGGCTGTCCTACATAACTAAATAGTCAGACAATTATTTAACTAAAAAAATACTGAATTATAGTCCTGTAAACTTAGCTTTAGTTTAGACGGAAATTTTACTTTTTTTTATCACTTTTCTCTCATTTATCATAAAAACAGAAATCCCTAAAAAATATAACATTACTGAATTGTCTAGGGTGCTATTGAACACTAACCAGTAGTTGTATGGAAATATCTGGTACAGTTCTATTGCAAATTAGATTTCTTTAGACATAGGCCTACCTCTTCTCTGATACAGTCACATTCCGAATGGGGGATAAGTGGCACAATAGCTTATAAGTTAAGAATGCTCACTCTGATGGTCATTATATTTGGAGAGGGAAATACCAGGTGGCTGAACTACATCACCAAATAGTCAGAAT